CTTCCTTAGAACAAGAGTATTTATTGGGGAATCTGGTGTTGATACTCTAAGTCACCCACCCTACAGCCCTGACTTAGGTCATTGTGATTTCTTTTTGTTCCCAAGGGTTAAGGTCGAATACGACGCGATTGACCTTGCTCATTTCGCAGCAAACCACGCGCCGTCTATCGAACATCACGTGTCTTACCCGTACGCTTTGTTTATATAGATTATAGACATGTATAATATAATCAAAGCCGTACGGGCTTTGATTATATTATATTTGACTGAGCTAGCTCAGTATGTAGAGTAATGAACAACACAGAGAGCATTGCTTACTTCTTAATTAAATCTTTCTTATTTATAATATTAGTTCCTATAGATTATAAATTCTGTACTTTATTCGTTATAAAATATTGTTCGAAAATTTATTGAATTGATATCGATTTTTTTTTCTTAATTGGTGCATCCTACGTAAAGAACCTCATATAACTGAAAATGTTTGTTCTTGTTAGCCTTACAAGATGCTGTAATTGGCGTTGTGACTTGTGACTTGTGAGGATTAATATGGAATGCCTCGTTTCCAGTAAAAAGGGTCTCCGGTTCTCTATACTTACCATACGAAACTCAGTAGCGATAACCCACTATTTCACGCTGATATTCTGTGAGAGCGTGGTTCTTCCCCGGTCGAGCCGACCCATTCGTTCTACAGCTATACTACTAACATAACTGCAGTATTGCTCTACCTCGTATAAAAGTAAAAGTATCCACGAAGTTAGCTGTTGATGAGTACAAGTAGATGAAGTTTGTTGAATAATGTGCAAATTTTCTTCGCCGTGAGCCGTGGTAGCTCAGATTAACGCTCGCTGTAAATGTAACAGAACACGAGTAACCCTGGTTTGATCCCCGCCGGCACCAATGAAATTGTTAATCGCCATTTTAAGTGCTGATTTACCACGTGCTCGGCGGTGAAGGAAAACATCGTGAGGAAACCTGCATGTCTGAGGAATAAGAAAAAAAAATTATTTCGAAGATATGTGAAATTCGCCAGAACGCATTAGGGCAGCGCGGCGGACACTTTCTTGCCCTAAAACCCTCTCAGAAATGAGGGGAGGCCTGTGCCCTGCAGTGGGACGTATATAGGCTGTAAGTTTACTTTACTTTTTTTTCTTCGCGGCGTTGGTGAGAAAATAATCGTGCTCTGTAATTTTTTTAATTTTTGACAAAACGAAACATTAAAAATGGTGAAATATTGTATTGTGAGTGGATGTGCAAGTGGTTTAGCATCTTTTCGGAAAAATGACTGAAAATGACTTTTATTGAGCCAACTTAGCGATCGCAGCGTCTTACTTATTTTGTCCATTGTAAGTTATGTAATTTATGGTTTATTATTAATGAAATAAAAAAAAAATTAGTAACAAAAAGTTATTTAAAAAAATTGGAAAAAGTTAATAAATATCTATTTCATTTGTTATATATTTCGCCATGATGAATTTTATTATTTTGAACTTTATATGTTCCTATACACTTATAAATACAGTATGAAAAATTTACTATGGGACCTAATTTACGATTTAGATGTAGGTTTTATATGAACTACTCTCCGATTATAGAGAAAAATAAACAAACTACACAAAAACGGAATAATAGACGTTTCCATCACCAGTGTCCACAATTTTATGCACCTATTACACCACCCTGAATCAGGGCCCTTGAATGAAGGATGGGCGTGGCCCCTAATTAGGGACGTCAGTTATTACATTACCCTGATTTTACGCCCTTACTCAGTCATAGGGATGCACAAGTGAAAAAAGTAAATATATTTATTGAATCGATATTTTTAAAGTAATTGTAACAAATCATCTACTGTGTTTCGTCCTGCTAACTCTAGTTGCATAATTCGAGTTTATTTCGAGTTGTGTGAATTTGAACTTGAGTTAACTCGAGTCGTAATTTTTTCAAGTAAGCACATGTATAGGATGCAACATCACTCATTAAAAACATCAAGGCTTATTTACGATGTATTGATTTTTTCGATGTTTTTTATCATCATTTAAATATATACATATATACATACATAAGGAATAAATAATCATTTTGAACAGAAATGAAACAAAGAAGTATAATAATCAAACTTTATATTTATCTTATTTTAGGAAGTTTTACACTATTTATTTTGACACATTAAATTTTATCGAATAATTATCAGAAAACAAGAATTAATTAAATATTTTTTTCATGTTTATTTCTTTCGAATTGAATTTTAAAATTACAATCTTGACAACCTGGTGCCTAGTAAGTGGTTTCTCTCTGAGTGATTGTAGATCCAGCCTCTGAAAATAACCGCTCACCGGATACCGAAGTTGCCACGATAGGCAAATAGATCTTATCTAGGCTATGGAGCCCGGGAAATAACCCTTTCATGACATCGCAGATGTAATATATGAAACTCTTCTTCTGCTTTAATTTTATTTCTTATGATGTGGGGCGTTATGTTACCTTCAGTAATATCGCATTTTCTTAATACATCTACGAAACTATGCCGAAATACAAACAGGTGAATAACCGTTCATCCATAAAAATCAAAATTTCAGAAAAATGATTATAACGAAATACAACGTAAAGTAAGCCGATAAAATAATTTCCATTACAAAATAACCTTTAACTTATAAGACTGTACTTAAGCTATTCATCAAGTCAAAGTTCAAATAATACAATTATTTATAAGAAAATGAATAAAACAATTTCAATCCATTTTCAATATTTGTACTTAAACTCATCTTAATTAATTATCAAAATAAAAATAACTACAAGTGTACATCGAAAATGGAATTACCGATAGAAGAGAGTTGTACTTCTGAAGTTCAAGTATATTTATTTTCGGTTGAAAGACCATTCGCCTGTTTGTTGATTCGTAATTAAAATTTTCAGGATTTAGTTATTACCGCCAAATACTCGTAAACCTTCTTACTTTAAAAATTTATACGTTATGTAACTTTAACATATTTTGTTTCAAATATTTATTTTTGGCAACATAAAATTCGTGATAATCATCGTTCGCAACTTTTAACATACGGAGTTTTATACCTTTGAATAGATATTTCGTAACCTTTGACGGCAAAACATCGTTCATAAAACATAGCTCATGAAGAGCCATGGTTATGAACGATATGTCGATGTTTGAATTAATTGATGTATCGTTTGCATCTTTAGTCGTGCATCGAATAAGTGTACTAATTCCCTTAGTGTTATTACACTGCACGATGGAAGAGCACTGCAGACCGTGACCGGGTCCACTTTGACGCCCTAATTAGGGACCCTTACTCCCTTTCTCTTATTACACCACCCTGAATCAGGGCCTAGGGAGCCTGATTCAGGGTAGTGTAATAGGGGTATTAATTAGGCAGCCGAAGCAGTAAGTTTCCAGAGCCGTTTATAAAATGCACAGTCGAATGCACTCTGCAATAAAATTGGCTATGCTCACGATCGCTCAGTGAATTATTTTCATAACCTTCAAGCAAATAATAAACTCGTAATGACAAGCTCAAAAAAGCATATAAATATAATTGAATTGTGTAGATACATATTGTTTCAAAATTATGTGGGTATAGACAGCAAGGAAATTGATAATTAATTTAAATAACAATTTACGTAGAATTGTAATTATAAGGTATATATAATATAAGGTTAATATATATCATAGGCGTCAACCGAGGACGACAACAGAGAATAACAAAGCGAAAGCAGTGACAACTGTGACATTACAGTTCACACTTGATGGTTGTGTTGTCTGCTATCTTCTCTTACCGTTAGTGTATAGTGCGCGCAAGATAACTCTGCGCGCGACTGAAGGTGTACTTAATGTTGCCATCTTAACTAATATTATTTCCTTTATTTAATCTTATTACTAAAACTATATGATTATTTCAAATTATACATACATGACGTAATTGACTACCAAAGTTCAGTTAAAAAACTGTAACGTTAAGCTTAAACTTACAAAGCCTAATTTTTTAAACCGTATATTTATTGCTTCGATCCCCGTAATAAACATATTTGTTGAATGTAAGTTTCGTAAGTTTCTTAAATTTATATTATTCTATGGTAAGACTTACGTAAATATAAATTATCAGTTAATAACCATTTTAAATTTTTTAAATTATGCCAGCGGGTTCGAGAAAAATAATATTATTCTAAAAAAAATTAAAATACACGCTTTACTTTTATTTTCTGTATTTTTCTCAGCAAACCCTTTTGTTGGATACCCATATCATGGGAATGCATAAAAAAATAACTAATACTCCATCTTTGAGAGTTCTTCATATTGGATTTAAAACGACGTCATTTATCTAATAACGCATTGTCATCTAAATTAAACGTATGCCAAATTTCAGCTCAAACGAAAAACGAGAAGTTGGCCAAATTTGTTTTACATAATTACAGGTGAAGATACTAGCATATTACAAATGACTATTACCAATTTTATAAACACTAATATTCTGTCGATAATAAATTTTAAAAATGTATTTTGAAACAGAGATGGTATACCATTATAAAATTTATTATAAAGAACGAAAAAGATGTATATGTCTGATACACATGTGTAGCTTGTACCACTTTACAGGTTAAAGGTCCAAGCTAACTTTTTTTTTCTCGTCGCCACTTGTATCGTCTGCTATCTACTTTTACTTCTTTCTTAAAATTTGACACACCATAATTATATATTTTAGGTGATCGACGCTTTTAGGAATTCTGAATTATTCAAAGTTTTAAGCCTGAGAAAGATGCAAGATTTAGTGTATATATACATCGATGTTTGACATGTGGCAGCATCGATGTTTTAATTTTAACATCGATGATCATCGAACATCCCTATACATATCTATTTGTCTATGGTTATCCGTCAGTCCGTCACCATCTGCTGTTGCTGCCAAATCTGACAATTTGTTTCTGTTTCTTAGTTTCTCTTCTTCTAACTTGAAATTGTTAACACAAATGGAATAATCTATAATAAAAGTTAGGCAATATTGTAAGGAATATTTTATTACTATAAAAATATATGATATTGGTTTTTTACTCACAAGCTCAAAGTTATTTGTTGAAAAAAAAAATGACGTGTAATTCTTCTGTAAATTTACCTCCAAATATGAATTATAATTTATCTTCCTCTTTAACTCTTTAAAACTACATTAGGTACTTCGTTTTAATTAAAACAAAACCCCATGATTTGATGCTTCGACACAATTTTATACAATTAATATTGTTTAAGGTACAGCAAAGATGCAGTTCACATCTGAAGAAGCCTATGCTCGTCTCATTAGTCATAATATGACTGTACCACAGCGTATCAAGGTAATTTTTTATTATAATATACATGACAAATAGCACAAATGCAATGTATTGTCTGGAATGCAATACATTAAGGTAGAAATAATAATAATAAAAAAAACATTATTCATTACCACCAATAAAGTTACAGTGAGGAGTACATACAGAAATAACCAGAATTACATAGTGTAGTAATGAATGGGCTCTAACTCAGCATAAATGTTGCAGTTGCTTACAACCCTGTTATTCTGCCAGTGCCCAACAAATGAAGAATACTGTATGTCCCTGCTTATATTACATTTAATCACAAATGTTCATATTAGAGTACATCTTGTGGTTATGATGTGTCCAGATATGTCGATGTGGAATATAAAATTATCATTTAGTGCAGTACTATATCACAGCCAAAGAAAAACATACAGTCAGTCTGCATGTTTGATGTTGGAAATTGAGACATAAACAATAAATTGCTAGGGTTGTTGGAATGGGAAGTAATAGAATATTAAAAAAAACTGTTTTAATGTTATTTTACATTTAATTTGTTTTAACTTTGTAAAAAACTTAGTTACTGTTCAGAAATAATAAAAATATGTTATAGGATTCATAATTTTTTACCGCACATGCAAGTCTTTTTTTATAGGATAGGGTGACAAACAGGCACACAGTCCACCTAATGGTAAGCGGTAGCTGTGGCCCATAGATATCTACATCTATCCTCGATTATGAATCAAAATGCTGATGCGTTGTCACCCGTGATGACTAAGATGGAATGCCTAGTTTCCAGTAAAAAGGGTCTCTGGATCTCTACACTAAACCATACAAAACACAGCAGCATTAAGCTACTATTTTACGCTGGTATTCTGTGAGAGGGTGGTCCTTCCCTGGTTGTGCCGACCCATTCATGCTACAACCACACTAGCTGCAGCGTGCCACTACCACGTGAAAAATCAACCATTTTAATTTATTTGCGTTGGTGAACGATTTTAGTTTATTTGCATGACAAGATAACACTAGCGGATAGGACAGCTCTCCACCTGCATCTCGCCCCACACTGCACCACACAATTTTCCCATCTACCCTTCGATGTCCGACTGTTAGTAGTAGTTAGATTGCGACTATACACAAACTGAAAGTATGCAATGCAATAGGAAAGTTGTTAAATTGCTAAACTCATTACTTTCATAATGTTGAATGTTTAGTTAGGGGACATTGAAGTATTACATAAGGCAATTTTGGAAGATTTGATGAAGGCCTTCACATATAATTCTGATGACTGATGACAGATGACATGATGTTATACAAATTTTGTATAACATGTCATCATAATATAACATCATTAAATGTTCTATAAATTTTTCTTTTTTTTAGTTTTTCTTTACCCATTTTCCAAATTTTGTTGGCATTTTTTGGCACAGTTGCACTGGTAAGTCAGCATGAGAACCTTTATAGGTCAAGAACAGATGATGATGCTATTCTCTCTCTTTTGAGAATATATGAACCCACTTCAACAACTCTGACTACAGCAATGTGTTTTGCATAGTGTGTGAATAATAACAAATACTGACTATGAAAACAAAATAAAAATGACATACAACAGTTGAGGTATTCCCCATAAAACAAACAACAAGGGTTGCCAACTTGGGAGAACAAAATAAAAATTACACATAATACATTCTAGGGGTTCCCCGTAAAACATAAGTGAAAAGGGTTGCCAACTAAGGAGATTTTAATAACTTGGTTTTTTATTTAAATAAATTTAACAATGTAACATAACATGTTGTTCGAAAAACCCACTCCCGACCCTGTAATGCATTGTAACATTTTACAAGACACCCCCCTCCTCCCCTAATTGTGTTATGTAATACTTGAATTCCCCTTAGTTAAATTGTTTTATTCGAAAAGCAGGGTCCATTGATAAGGATTTACATAACTAGAAACTTATTGTGACACTGTATGAGCTTTGGGCTCTATTACCATTACTACTTATTATAGCAATAAAGAAGTGGCAGGCCCATGCCAGGGCTGCCACACATGTTAATTGCCAAGAAAAGTGTAGTCTCCCACTTGAGATGATAAGACGACTTTGTAAGAGATGCAGGTGGCTCAGGACTGTTCTTTGTTGCATTCCTTGAATGCAACCTATGTTAAGCAGTGGACTTATTAAGGGCTGTAATGACAATGATGATGATAAAATATGAGATGTTATCACACTAAAATATGAAAGTTATAAAGTATTTCAGTCAGTCTTTTTCCAAGATCAACTCTTAAGATATCTGCGAAAATGTATACGTAAGAACCAAGAAGACTTGCTTGAAACACAATTCTAAGAAAGAAACTCTATTCCAGACATCGCTAACTCTGGACAGTCGTCACCATCATGAACTGTTATTGATTTAATTACATTTTAAATTCATCATGATCTGTAGTATCTGTGCGTAAAATTGTTCCTGTGAAATTCAAATTATAGTGTTTTATCTGAACACAAGACACAGAGAAAATGGTGATCTTCACTCTATTGTGAGAAGTCAAAATGTGTCAAATGTGTATGACATTCAAAGCCGTATCATGGATGATTATTTCTCTTATGCTAATCCATCCATCAATCCATTGCAGCCTTTAAAAGTCCATTGCTCAACATAGGCCCTCCATAGATTGCCTTATCAACTATGGTAAAATCTCTCCCTCAGTATGACAACTATGGCAAAATCGCCCTTTGTTTTACCATGTTTGTCCCACTGTGCAGTTTAGCTGGCAATTGTAGTTTATTATTATTTTGATTTGGTATCAGAAAGATACTGCTTCTCATCTTCTATTTCAGTTCTTCTCCGTTACCTTTTACAACACCACTCAATGATAGAATATCCACTATGTCATCATAGTGGATATTCTTACATTGCCACTATATGGTAACCTAAACACATTTCAACTAAATGTACTGTTAGTAGAATTTATTTATATTTTTGGTGCAACCAAAACTAATTTAAAGTGTTCTCATTTTAGGCAACAGGCGACATAGTTGATGATGAAAGTTCCCCTAATGGGATAGTAAGTGGTTGGGACTATGCTAATGAAAAATTTGATATGAATGTACCAGAAAGAATACTAGTTGTTGGACAAGATCAGCATATAGGTAATTATTTATTATGGGTAAAGTAAAGTACATACACTCATGGACAAGTTTTGAGGAAAAAAACAGTTTAATTACTCCTGTTGTAATTATCATTCATACAGGCATAGTAAAAACAGAATAGTAGGATACTCCCTCGCCGCGCGAGACTTTAATGCGTACTGTTGCAGCATTGTCACTGTCCTTTTGTTTAACAGCTAAGTCTCATTTAGTTTTATAAGTAGTTATAATATTTACAAACATAATACATATGGTTACATACCTATGCATCATGTTTGTTAATCATTTCTTTAGTTTCCTCTCAAATAATTAATAATATATTGTTGCGCGAATAAGTCGACGTCATGTATCCGGCACTAGCGCCATCTAGTGTCAAGGACGAGAGCGAAGTGAGCTTTCCAGAAAATGACATCACTAATCTTTCAACCGACTGCGCCATCTAGTCTCGGAACGAAGAACTAAGCTTCTAGAAGTCGACACTCGAACTCTCGGTCCCTTGCGCGTGTTTACTTGAATATTCTGGATGTTTTGGTGCTAATTTGTATTTATAGGCGCTGCAAGATGCGTTCGGGAAAGTATTGAATTCGGCGAGACAAGCGAAGCTTCGGAGCGGAATAAAGTGAATTAGTGTGATTAATTATTAGTGCTTTAAATTTTAATTAATTTAAAGTGAATTAAAGTGTTAATTTAGGTAATTTTATCGGCAATTTTTAATTGTCACGAACCCTAAGATCGTAACAATTGGTGTCAGAAGTGGGATAAAATCATGCCGATTTTACCTAAGGAGGAAACGGAGGGACTACCCGAAGTCAACGCCAGCAGGAGACGGACCAAAGAAGATTTAGTGGTGCAACACCGCAGACGTCGGAGGGCCAGCCGCCGGCTGCGGGCCCGTCAGTAGATCCTTCATCTGCAGCACCTGATTTAGGTGCTCTGATGGTGATACTGCAGGAGCAGGCTCGCCGACAGGAGGAGCAGGCCCGTTGGTTGAAAGAGCAGCAGGAGGAACAGGCTCGCCGACAGGAAGAACAGGCTCGCCGACAGGAAGAGCAGATGCTCCTCGTGAAGGACATTCACGCTAACTTCGGGAAAGAGATAAGGGAGGTGAAGGATAGGGTTGCTCAACATGACAACCGCCTGTCGGAAGCTGAAACCCAAATCAAGGAAGCTATAACCCAAATCGACCAAGTGAACAATCGGGTTGATTACGTGATGGCTGTCGTGAAGAAAACGCTGGACGACCTTAAACTGGGGGACGGAATTACAGCTCCCGTAGCTGCAACACCTGCGCTACGTGGGTTCAAGGTGCCACCGTTCGACGGAACTTCTTCCTGGTCAGCCTACAAAATCCAGTTCGAGGCTGTTATGAAGGCGAACGGCTGGAATAAAAGTCAGGCCATGACTGCTCTCACACTAGGCCTGCGCGACCAGGCCTTAACAGTTCTGGAAGCTCTCGGTGAGGAAAAGGGCCATCTTCGATCCAGCTGCCCTAAGCGAACCCTAGAAAGGGAAGTCGAACGATCTCAGGAGGGTAGTGCGGCCAACAGCACCGCCCAGCAGCAGCAGGGAAACTAGTAAAAGCCAGAACTGCGGGGCGGGTGCTGGCTGATGTTAAAAGAGCCCCAAGGATCTCGATCTCACAAACCCATGATGGGAACAGTCTAATCATCAAGGGCGAGGTCAACGGAATGCCGTGTAAACTGACCATAGACACTGGAGCCTCTCGTACGGTTGTTAGTTCCCAACTTATAAGTCAGTTCCTTGGGGACTCCACATACAACCGAGAACGCATTAATTTGGTAACAGCCATCGGTCAGCGTATACCCGTCCGTGGAGAGAAGGAGATGGAGTTGAAGCTAGGCAACGTGATCTACCTGCATAATGTCATCGTGGCTGATATAATGGACGACTGCATCCTAGGCCTAGACATTATGAGGAATAATTGTTGTGAGATCGACGTTAAGCAAGGTGTTTTGAAATGTGGACAGGAGGAACTTTTTATGGAAGGTGCGTTACCAGGGAACGTGTACAGCATTAAGAAGATTGTTCTTCCGCCGAGATCGGAAACGATTGTTCCGGTTAGTCTTCCTCGAAACGCTGGGCAAGCTCACCATTGTGTACTTGTGGAAAGGGTAAACAATGACCTTTCATGGAAAGTAGCTCGAACCTTGGTCAGGACCACTGACATCTCAGGAGTACGTGTGCTGAACCTTTGTGACCGGGAACAGATTATAGAAAAAGGCACACTGGTTGGTACTTGTGAGGAAGTGGATTGGTTACGTCGGTGCCAATATATATCGAGACCCCCAGCAAGGATTCAGAAACGAGAGTGCCCACACTTTTGGAAGACTGTCGCAGTGTTCTCTCCCCGAACGAATTGGTCAAGGCGAAGAAGTTGTTACTCAAGTACTCCGATGTATTCTCATGAAACGATGCTGACATAGGAAAGACTGGCTTAGTTCAATACAAAATAAACACAGGAGAAGAATTGCCTATCCGTCAGCGGCCAAGAAGATTGCCGGTAGCACGTGAAAAGGAAGTGGAAACCATGATTGAGGGAATGGTGAAGGATGGTGTTATTGGACCTTCATCTAGTCCATGGTGTTCACCCGTGGTGCTGCTATAGAAGAAGGATGGCAGCGTGCGGTTCTGTGTTGATTACCGCCGTCTGAACGACGTTACAAAGGAAAGCTATCCCTTGCCAAGAATTGATGACACGCTGGACATGCTTATAGGAGTAAAATGGTTTAGCACGCTGGATCGAAAAAGTGGCTACTGGCAAGTTGAAATTGACCCTAAGGACAAGGAGAAAACTGCGTTCTCGACGGGAAAGGGTCTGTGGCAATTTAAAGTAATGCCGTTTGGATTGTGCAATGCTCCAGCAACGTTTGAAAGACTGATGGAGCTTGTACTTACCGGGCTAATTGGCGATGCCTGTCTGGTCTACTTGGATAACATCATCATCGTGGGCCGTACGTTTGAGGAACACCTTCAAAACCTGGAACGCGTGCTCATGAAGATTCAGAGTGCCAACCTCAAGTTGAGTCCGAAGAAATGTTCACTATTCAAACGGAAAGTCAACTTTTTGGGGTATGTAGTGTCGGAAGAAGGTATCCGCACGGATCCGGAGAAAATCGCCGATGTCAAGGATTGGCCGGTTCCAAAAGACAAGACGCAGGTTAGAGCATTTTTGGGTTTGTGCTCCTACTACCGGCGATTTGTGAAGAACTTTGCAGATATAGCCAAACCTCTGCATAAGCTAACCGAGGAGAAGCGACATTTCTGCTGGGATGAAAGTTGCAATATCGCATTCCAGGAGCTCAAGGACCGTCTGTGCAATACACCTATTTTGGGATACCCTGATGCAGGCAAGGAATTTATAGTTGACACAGACAAGTGATACAGGACTTGGCGGTGTGTTGTTTCAACGGAATAGTGACCAAGAGGTCGTGATAGCGTACTTCAGCAAGTCGTTGTTAAAACCGGAAAGGAACTATTGTGTCACAAGACGCGAATTGCTAGCTGTGGTAAAGTCGTTGCAGCATTTTAGCAAATATCTTCTGGGGCGGAAATTTCACTTACGAACTGACCATGCTGCACTAAAATGGCTATTACAGTTTAAAAATCCAGAAGGACAAGTTGCGAGGTGGATTGAACTACTGCAGGAATACGACTTTGAGATCGAACATCGCAGCGGGAAATCTCATGGCAACGCAGATGCATTGTCAAGAGGACCTTGTCCTGAAGATTGCAAACATTGTACTAGGCAAGAGAGTAAGGATGTGGTATCCGTGAGGATGCTCAGGACAAACCACCTCAGCAACGAGTGGAAGGACAGCTTACGACATGCACAGCAGGAAGGTCCGAACATCAAGCCGATTCTGCAATGGATGAAGGCCAGTGCCCAAGTGGAGCGACGTCTCAGCGATGAGTTAGACCACTAAAAGCTATTGGGCCCAGTGGGAAAGCTTGCTGCTTCAGGATGGAGTTCTGTGCCGTAAATGGGAAAATGTTCGGGGAGACAGCTGTCATTTGCAAATGGTCGTCCCTAAAGCTAGAGTACCGGATGTTCTACAGCTGTACCATAATGATTGTTCAGGAGGCCATCTGGGAGTTAACCGGACTCTACTGAAGATCCGAGAACGGTTTTACTGGGTTCACTGTCGAAACGATGTCGAGGACTGGTGTCGCAAATGTACAAGTTGTGCGGCTGTAAAGGGACCTCACACTCGTAGTAGAGGTGCATTGAAGTTGTACAATGTTGGTGCACCATGGGAGAGAATAGCCATTGACGTGGCGGGGCCGCTTCCGGAGAGTGAAAGCGGTAACAAGTATTTCATGGTTGTGATGGATTACTTCACTAAGTGACCAGAAGTCTTCGCCATTCCAAATCAAGAAGCTTCAACAGTTGCGGATAAGCTAGTTCATGAAGTCTTCTGTCGTTTTGGAGTACCTTTAGAGGTTCACAGCGATCAAGGAAGGAATTTTGAGTCTCAAATATTCCAGGAAACTTGCCGAGTTATGGTTCTCATAAAACAAGAACGACTTCTTATCACCCGCAATCTGATGGAATGGTAGAACGATTTAATCAGACATTGGAGAGGTACCTAGCAAAAATTGTAGACAATCGGCAACGAGATTGGGACTAGCACATACAACCGTTTTTGTTGTCATATCGAAGCGCTGTTCACGAAAGTACAGCAGTGACACCAGCTTTCGCAAACTTTGGAAGAGAATTAAGGCTGCCTGTAGACCTGATCACCGGGATACCACCTGATGCCCCACGCATTATAACCGATTATGCAAATGACTTGCGGAACAAAATGAATGACATTTATGAGCACGTCAGACAATCGGGCCAGCAAATGTCTGAGAAGATGAAAACCCGGTACGACCGCAAAATGAACAATAAAGGCTTCGACGAAGGTTCACTAGTGTGGTTGCACAATCCAGTCCGCAGCAAAGGTATATCTCCTAAGCTTCAAGCTAAATGGGACGGCCCG